TTTAAATTTTAATATAAAATAGTAGAGTGGGTCAACCGTTCTCTAAATATGGTCATTAAACTAAGTCAAACACTAAAATTAGAGTCGGAAGTAGAGTTACTAATGGATAAATGGATAAATAGATAGTGAATATGAACACTAATCAGATGTCATGGAATAGTAATTGTTTTGTTGATCACCGGTCAAATCAAAACTTCAACATGTTTGAATGACACCATTCAGCTGCACTTTGACGTAACATTCAACATGCCATTTTTAATGAATAGCAGACCTATTTTCGATGATTTTTGTTTTAAATGAATTAGTATCACCCTATTTTTTTTTTTTCAGAAGAATTTCTACTAACTTCACCTTTTTTTTTGTTTTGTCAATATAGCTGGTATTTATAGGAGTGGTATTAATGCTATAAAGTTATGATTCGTTTAAATTCAAAATTATCAAAAGCGGTCAGCCATTCTTAAGGTATCGGAGCAGGGTTGGCACATTTGTCCATTGGTATGAATGGACCCCAGGTCCATTGACCAGTTCCATTGGTTCCATTGGACGGTCACTATTCCAATGGACCAATGGACAAGTAGGTAAAATAATTATATAGCTTTTATAAATGAGTTTAGAATATTATACCACGTGATATTTGAGATTTTTTTTGGTATTGACCTTATTTTAGCTTATGCTAATGGACCAATGGATTATGATATTGGTCCATTGAGTTCCATTGACAAACTTATTTTCAATGGACATAGTCCATTGCCAACCCTGTATCGGAGCATCATTGAGAATCGTTTCGGTTATTTTTTAAGTGTCTCGAAATTTATAGAAATAGCTGTAATGCAGATCTAACAATTTCATATGTATATAGGACGAACCTAGCATAACCACCAAGATCATTTTACGTATGAAGATTAAATACATATAATTTTAATCTAATAAAAATTTTTCATAATAGAATCACTTGAAAATTCGTATAATTCTGAGTTTCAATTATATTTTTTACGTAAACGATTTAGGTGGTTAGCCCCGATGATCTGATAACGGTTTCCGCATAAACATGTTTTTATTCCATACCTTATAGCCCGTCATGTTATTAAATAGAATTTTTATACACAATTTTATCGTTATCAATTTATAATAAATTTATATAGTAGTATATAGTTTATATCAAAATTATGATAGGAAATTTTTTTAGCAGGGAACGAAAATTAATTTATGAACAAAAAATAAGACAGAAATCTTGATTGCAAGTCTGACAGTTGTGCTTATGTATAATTCAGGAAAGTATTACAAATTTATAGAAAACGTGTACATGAATCGTCACTCCCATGCCATGAATTACAATTATCTTTAATTACTCAAATGAACATCAAAATCAATATTCATCATACTATTGCTGTATTGATTGGGGAATCTTCACTTTTTGTCACATGAAATTAGGGTTCATCTGCCACATGAAATCAGGGTTCATCTGCCACATGTTTACCTAAAAATGCCAGTTTGAAAGTCATCGCAACATACTCTTTTTCAAAAGTATTATCCAAAATAATAATAATTCCAGACGGTTTAATTCAAATTCAAATGATAACAATTTGATTATAAAATAATTCCAGTCGAACTACTTAACATAATGAAATAATATAATTGTAGGGTCCGGATTTATTATGCTAATTACACATACTAATTTCGGCTTATGCACCAATTGTGGAACACTATTTTTACGGGCCCCGATTCCAAACCCTATATGGTTGATGCCAAAGGAATTTATCCAGGTTTTTTTTTTCGATAGACTTATAAGTGTAAGAAACATGTAAAAATATATATATATATATATCGATATAACGAGTTTCAGCATCGTATTGTACGGTGAAACAAACATCAAATTTATAGCTATAATTACACGAATTTCCCGAGTATTTACCATTATTGTACAGTTCGTATGTATGTCATTGGACAGGTAAACTTTTTTGAAGTCCAAATTTTTCTTTTACTTAAAGAGTATGATCTACAGTGTCTTATTTCAATACGTTATATAAATAAGTCTAATAAAAAATCAAAATTTGCTCATTTATACATACATTTTTTTTAACTAAATATAGTTAGAAAATTGAACTTATATAAATGATAAATCTTGTAAAGAAATCCAACTAATATGTAAATGGTTAGATCAAATTTAAACAAATATAGTAGAATCAAAAGAATAAAGTCTTATTTTGAATTATCGATGGAGATAAACACTGGTGTTAATTAGAGATACTAATTAGATAATCGATTAAGCCGAATTTGTATTACTTTATCAATTATATATTTAATATATATAGTGTGTCGATATCGGTATCAAATCTATTTTTTCTCGCAAGTCTTTAATCCCTGTGGGAATTTAGCATATATATATATACACTTATAGAACCTAGGCATTTGAATTCTTCTCTTTGGTCATTATCATATTTCTTTATAAAAATACATTTTTATTTAAATCAAGTTTCATTGTTTAATTTGTATTATGCCACCCGAAATTTTTGACTATGATTTAGATAAATCCGAATTCATTGATAAAACGTTTAATAATGATAATAATGATGCTAATTTAAATGAAGAAAAGGAACCAATTCCTGTAGTTTTAGTCGAAGGGTTTATGGGTCCAGGCAAACCTTCTTATTGGGGTCCATTACAATCATTTTTTTCAAATTCTTGTAATAATGCTAGTGTAGATAATAATGCTAGTGTAGATAAACAACATCCTAAGACTAGACGTTGTATTTTCGTAACACCTGGTTGTGGAAGTTCTTTATACGATAGAGCTGTTGAAATTTTTTATCAAATTAAAGGTGGAAGAGGTACGCAGCAACCACGTGATAATTGATTATTCCGATCAATTCACCGACAGTCACTTCACCGAATACTCATTTACATAGGGTTAGGGTTAAGCATTTGATAAGTTACAGGTATATATTTTTACTAAATTTCACCTGGGGTGATGTGAGCTGTCGGTGAAGTGATTGTCGGTGAAATAATACGTAGTTATTCCACGTGAACTTACATAACCTTTATTCGTAATTATTTAATTATTTAGTTGATTATGGAAAAGCACATGCTCTAAAATATGGCCATTCGCGTTATGGCCGTGAATATCCAGGTATTTTATATACAGTTCAGATAAAATAAACTATATACTATAAATTGTATTTATTAAATATTAAATTGATTTAATTTAGGATTATATCCTGAATGGAGCGTTTCTAAACCTCTCCACTTTCTTGGACATTCATTTGTAATACATCAACTTAAACACATTTATATTTATCTCTTTTTAACTTAAAAATCATTCATATTTATCTCTTTAATATATATTATTAAACGATAGGGAGGTGTAACTATTTGGAAACTTCAACAATTACTCGCAAGTGATTTTTTCCCAGCACATTTTGAACCTCACCCTGATATGGTTCGATCTCTTACAGCAGTCTCAGCTCCATTCAAAGGTTATAATAATACCAATATTTTATTATCTTCAACTTTAGTCAATTAACATTGTTTAATATAAGATTATAATTATAGGAAGTCAAGGTGTTTACATATTGGGTAGATGCACAGAAGACATAGGATCGGTCCGTCCATTTAGTTTTGGAGCTTGGCTTGGTAGATTAGTTCATATTTATGAATATTTTGATATAAAATGGATAAAAAGTTTGTCATATGATTTCAATTGCGATCATTGGAATTTAAGTTTTAGAAAAAATTTCAAATCAATGTGGGATGAATATATTGGAGATAAATATATTTCAAATATTTCAAATATTTCAAATATTTCAAATATTTCAAATATTTCAAATATTTCAAATATTTCAAATATT